CTCTTCAAGCGTACGCAAGAGCTCTCGAAACAAATCCGGGACCTCGAGACACAGCTGCACCGACTTGGGTACGACTAGCGACGACTAACTCTTTTTGAATACGTGTTTTGCATAAGATCGTAGTTGTAGTTCAATCTAAGTTGGATACTGTTGCCACCAACACCCGCGACAAGGTGCGCAGAGGCTCTCAAACGAAGCAGTGCCGGATGGACGCGGATGTCCATTCTGTTTCAAACAGAGTTACAAACAGTGTTTCAAACAGTGCTTTCGGTGAAACTGCCACAAAACACTGGTTACCGCCATCTGCTGCATCCAGTGGCTCCAGTATCTTTGCCTGCTGCGCTCGCATCGAGCTGCGCGGCCATTCGCGTCGCAAGCGAGAGCTATTGAGATTGGTTTTATCCTGTATTTACATAGCTATATACAGTCCATCGCACGCTGGCAGCGCGGTCGACTGCGTCAAGCCATTGCCAGCACCTCGATGGTGCACACCAGTCGTTCGAGCCTCGATTATCCGGATCCGCATACGGCGCCCGTTGCTGGCGTCGTATTGGTGCTTTTTTGGCCGACGACCCGACCACCACGATGATGCTTGCGACCGGGACGACGGTGCAGCTCAAGACCGCAGCCATGCTGGTCAAGGAGCGGCGGATCGAGTTCCGCCGGGCGCGCAAGGCCGCCAACGCCGGCGCCGCGGTCGTCGTGGCCGGCGACAAGGCGGCCAAGGGCGCGAAAGCCAAGAGCAGCTCGCTCATTGACGTGCATGAGATCCACCGCGTTGTCAAGTGGAAGGTCCCGCGCAAGATTGGGCCGGGTCTCTCGAACCTCGGCAACACGTGCTACCTCAACTCGGTGCTGCAGTGCCTCCTCTACTCGCCGGCGCTCGTCCAGTACTTGCTGCCCCGCGCGACGGCAAAGGCGACGCCGCAGCTCAAGTCGGGCTTTGCGGCCGAGAAGGTCATGGCCCGGCTCATTGCGCAGATGCACGCGTCGAATGCGCCGCGCGTCGTGCAGCCGCGCGAGCTTGTCGTGAACCTCAAGCAGATTGCCAAATTCTTTCGCATTGGCCGCCAAGAAGACTCGCACGAGTTCTTCCGGCACCTCCTCGATGCAATGCACAAGCAGGCGCTCAAGGCCGCGGGTCTCAAGGACGACAACTCGCCGCTCTCTCTCTCGACGCTCGTGCACTCTGTCTTTGGCGGCTCGTTGCGCTCGTACGTGCAGTGCGCCAAGTGCAAGTACGTCTCGGAGCGCCTCGAGCCGTTCCTTGACCTCTCGCTCGAGATCTCGTCGGGCATCTCGACGATCGCCAACGCGCTGCGACACTTTACAGCGGTGGAAACGCTGGATACAGAGAACGCGTGGAAGTGTTCGGGCTGCAGCCAGCGCAGCCGCGCGAGCAAGGGCCTCTCGATCCACAGCGTCCCGAACGCGCTTGTGCTTCATCTCAAGCGCTTTGACGTCTTCCGCGGCAAACTCAAAAAACACATTGCCTTCGATGACGTCCTCGACCTCAACCTCGGCGGGTCGGTGCTGAGCGCCAAGTGCGCCGAGAAGAAGCTCGCGCGCTACAAGCTCACGGGCGTCCTGGTGCACTCGGGCATGTCGCCCGACTGTGGTCACTACTACGCATTCGTCAAAAGCCCGGCCGGCCAGTGGTTTGAAATGAACGACGAGAGTGTCCGCATGGTGCAGCTGCAGACCGTGCTCTCACAGCGCGCGTACATGCTCTTCTACACGCGGGACACGGTGCCCAAGGCGCCGACACCCGAGCAACCGGTGGCCGCCGCACCGTCACCGACACTGACACCGACACCGGTGGTCGACGAAGCGGTCCCGACCAAGGTCGTTGTCGACAAGGACGATGATGTGACGTCGGAAGAGAGCGTCAGCGACGACGACGACGAGCGCACTGTGGTCGAGAACGAGCCCGAGCTCGTCAAGGGCGGCTCGCTCAAGACCGTCATGACGCCAATGGCCTTTGCGCCCACCTTTACGGGCCGCATCGGACGCTTGTCCCGCTTCGGAGCCCCGTGGAAGCGGTACGTCGTGCCCCGGCGCAGGCCCAAGGCGCCGGTCGATGTCCAAGCTGCACCGGTGGTCGTTTCCAACAAGCCGGCTGCCGAGCCGATTGCGATCAACCCCAAGACCCTCAACAAGAACAGTCTCTTTGGCGCCGAAGTGCCCCAGTGGAACGACGACGCAGTCGATGACGCGACGCCGCTCGACGCGCAGAGCATTGCGCTGCAGACGGAGCACAACAAGAAGGTCCGGCTGCTCAACCAAGAAGTTTTCAAGCACAAGAAGAAGGTCGGTCTGGACCTCTGGGACCAAACGCTCGACCTCGGCAAGATCAAGAAGGTCAAGAAGCGCAAGGAGTTTGTCGCGAACGAGGGTGCGACCAACCAGTTTCAGCGGGCGCTCGAGGTCAAGAAGAAGGCCAAGCGTGTATGATGATGATGGACACTTGCGCCCGCAACTGCGCCTTAGACGATAAACGAACCTCAGAAGGATCCGAATATATACCTAGTATTATGACTGTACAACCCATCGTTGATGCACATCATAACGTCGTCGCCATCGGCAGAGGGTCCCATGCACGACTCCAGGAGCTGTCGCCAGGAGTCTCGAGGTTGCTGTATAGGTTGCGTGCGAATAGCCATTTTAATTTCGGCATGTGCCACTTATGAAGGAACGAGTTGATTGGTCAATAGAAAACGACCCATTATCGGGACGTCGGATTTGAAATTTGCGATGGCATTCCGTGGACGAGGACGCGGCCGCGGTGGCGGCGGTGGCTTTGGCGGCCGTGGCATCAGCGTCGCCGACATCGTCGGTGGCACCATGGAAGAGCTGGGAATCTCGCACACGCAGATGATGTCGCTCAACGTACGCGACGCCCTCCGGCGACAGCTGCTCATGCACGCAATGTGCGTAGGGCGAGACCACGCCGCTCTTTCCGCCCATCAAGCTGCCCGCGCCCGCGCCGCTCACCGACTCGGACAAGTATTTAGTGCACAAGATGCGCATTGTCGCCGACCGCATGGTCAACTTGTACCCGTCGGCTCACCAAAAGACGGACGTCAGCGACGACGCCGAGATGGTGCACGTGACTGTGCCCGAGGTACCCAACTTTGCAGCGAATGGCCTCGTATGGCGCTGCGTAGATGGCCATGGAAGACCCGCTCGTGTGCTTTGTCCCGCGCGAAATCAACGAGAGCATGAGCCACGAGCTGCTGACGAGCACGGACGGCCGCGCTGCGATCTTGCGTCCGCGCGCGTTCGAGCAGACGCTCAAGTCGCTCGAGCAAAAGGAAGGCAAGGCCAAGCCGGACGCTCTCGACGAAGAAGAGGAAGCCGACGAAGACGAAGACATGGTAGACATGCTACTGGCAATGCATGCTCACAGCAGGCGTGTAGGGCGACGAAGAGATCGATGACTACCAGCAAGACTACTATGGCTCGGACGACAATGACAGCGACGGCGGCTATGAGGAAGCATACTAAATCGGACAAGAAATCCGCTAATATCGTAGAGCTATCTTGTGTATATCTACGCAAAGGCGCTTCAAGCTCTCGCAACAACGCGCTGCAGGCTGCTCAAGGCGCCAGTGCACTCAGCGCTACAAGTGTGTAGATCATGACATTTGTGCACCTAGGCGCAGCGCCCCTTGCGAGCCTAGTACGAGCTCACCAGCTCAAGCGAGGGTATCGTGAGAAGACTTCAACCCTGCCTTCAACCAGGCCTGAAACAGCCAGCGTACTTTGCACTTGTAGCCAATAGAGCTTGGGCGGTGTGATCAACTAAACACACCACATGTACTATTACTAGTACGTGACTAGCTCGCTATCATGGCTTGGCACTGGGCTGGGAGCTGGGTGCTGGGTGTTGGGCGCTGGGGCAACAAGCGGCGACCACATCATCGATGTCCAGTTCATGCCTTTCCATTTCAGCCAATCGAATGCACCTTCAAGCTGATACCGCGCACGGATTGGCTAAAAAGCGACGGCTGCCTTCGTTGCGCTCCGTTACCACTGGCAGAAACACGCGTCAAATGCTCCGACTTTTAGCCAATGCGGCGGCGGAAGCTTGGGCGCTGGACAATGGAAACGCGTTGCTTGGTAGATGGTGCGTATGAGAAGAGAGGTGGTAGGTGGTGAGTTTCATAAAATTAACGCTGGTCCGTGGACGACCTCGCACGCTCAAACGACGACGGGGACCTCGTCAGTCTTGGAGTGGGGCAGCCCGCCGACGTGGTCGTCATGATCTTCGTCCCCGCTCTCGGCCTTGGCGTCCGAGTCGTCGCTCTTGTGGCCGATGTGTCCCTGCAGCGGTTCGTAGTTGACCGCCGGCGCAATGTTTATGATCTTGGGTCGGGCAATCATGTCGCCGGGGCGCGGGCGTGTACGCGGGCGGCCGCGCGGCTTGCCCGTGCTGTTGCGCACCTTCTTCTTGAGCTCGTCCGCGAGCGACGCAGGCATCTTGCTCTTGTCGTCGGGCGAGATCGAGCCGTCCGTGATCGACGACCGGCGTCCGTGGTGGTCGTCGTCGTGGTCCTCGAGCGCATCCGACTTGGCAAGCGCATCTTCCTTCGTCTTGCCATTCGGCGCGACCATGACAACGGGAGGTGTCGACGGGTTGTTCACGGGGAACTTAAAGCCGACCGGGAGGAGCGGCATGCCGAATGGCCACACAGGTACCTGGAGCTGCGCGTCGCTGAGCTGCGCCTGGATCGCAGACGCTTGCTGGGCGGCGGCGAGCATCTTCTTGGACGGGCGGCCGCGCTTCTTCTTCTTCGGGAGCTCGTCCGTTGCGCCGGGCTGCGCGAACGGCAACATCATGGGCATCATCATGGTCATCGGGAACATCATGCCCATGGCGGCCATTGGCATCGTCAGTTGCTCCTTCTCCTTCGGGTCCATCTTCTTGAGCTCCTTCTTCTTGTCGTCGCGGCCATCGGACTCTTCGCCACGGTCAATCTCGTCGGTATGGTCATCCATGTCGGTGCCATCGAGGCCCTTCGTACGGATCTTCCGCTTCTTCTTCAGCGGGTCGTCCATCATCTTGGTCGCCATGCGCTCCGCGCTCGTCCAAAGCGCCGATACAATATCTTGTGATATCCTCGGAATTTTGACCAACCTCAGGCCCCCGTGCCAGTTCAGTGACTTCCATACAACAACCAAGCTTAAATGGGGAGCCCTACCCCTTCCCCGAACTTTAATTTCAACCAATCGTAGTGAGTTCGAAGCCGGAGGACTGGTTGGCGGCCCTCCATTTTGGCCAATCGCTGCACAAGAAACCGTGTCGACCAATCCGAACGCCGGAATCCAAAATATGGAATTTTGAATTACCCGATTTAAATTTTAGCCAATCGAAGACGAGGATACCGATGCGGCGTGCTGTCTGTCTTTGCTCCACGCTTCGGCTCCACGACTCCGCTTGCACCCGTCGCCTTCCCTTACCCCAGTCCGCTCTCGACGCCGTCTTCGCGAACATTACAAAGCTCAAAGAGGCAAAGCGACCATCTTCTGGCTTTTCTGACACTATTTTTTACTATTTTTCAAAAGGTAAGCAGATTCGAACGGCAATCTCGCCACCAAGGGAATAACTACCGTAGTTATTCCCTTGCCTTCCATAGACTTCCTTGAAATGACCCCATGCACGCCAGCCTTGCACGCTAGCCTTGCAGCAATGCGCGCTCAGACACGCACCAAAAAGTACCTTTTGAGCTGCCAATCGTCGGCGTCGGTTCTCACACTACGACGAGTTGGGGACCGTAGCGCTGCCTCTGCTCGCAGACTCGAAGTTATTCCAATCGCCCTTGCGTTCTCATACAGTGTTGCTGCGCAGCGTGTTGAAGCCCGTCGATGCAGCTTGAAGTTGCCGATCTTCTTTGTCCGGATACAAATGTGGTATCCGGTCAAAGTGCCGTTGCAGGTGGCCATTTCCACATATCTTTGCATGCGCGCCCACATTGCCCTCGTGGCGGTCACGCTCTCCGTCCTGCTGGGCACGAGCGTGCTCTGGTGCTCGTACCAGATGCTGTCGCCAGAAGAGTCGAGCGACTTTGGTACGCTCATCATTGTCGTTGCCAAGGTGCCTTACTTATCGTCGACGTTCATGCACGGTTAGGGTGGACGACGGCGTTCCGACACGAGATGAGCGTCGCCAGCAACGACCGCCTCTTGCGCCAAGAGACAGCGCGTGCGCCGGCCAATGCGACGAGCGAATAATAAGGGCGCTGTATACATAACTTAGGAGAAACCCTCGACCTCATACGTGCGCGCGCCGCTGGTAAAAGAGGATGTAGGCTGTGCCGCTTGAGACGTGCGGCTTCTTGATGCCCGAGACCGTCTCGTCGTTAAAGTCGTACCACTGGTCGTTCTCGGGGTTGCGGCATTCGCTACACCACGCCGTGCATAAAACGTCACCTCAACTCCCATAGGACGACGTACGCGGTGTAGTGCCCGCCGTTGAGCGAGCCCATGTGGTGGATGACCCCGATAAGATCATAGTCCCAGCACTTGTCGTAGTCTACACCGACAATGCCACCTCGTCGTCGCAAACGCAAGCGGACGTACGCAGGTTGTCCTTGGTGCAAAACTCTTTGAGGTTGAGCCCGTCGGCGGGAAACTTGATTGGCGTCGAGATCTTATCGCGGCTAAAGGTCGAGTACGAGAAGCGCTTAAGATGCAGCACGAGCACGTGCGGGCATCTACATGCCGAGTTGTCATCCCTAGCATCGGAGCAAACGCACCGCTGGAGGTTGATCTTCTTGACCACCGACCGGTGCGTCTTGCACTTGGCGCAGTAGAATGCGTCGTCCTCCTGGATATGCTCTTCTTCCGTGTACGCGCGCAGGCAGTCTTCGACGGGCACGCCATTGTCGTCGTCGGTTTTGAAGCGAGACGCCAAGCTCTTGCCTTTCTTGGGCACCGGAATCTACGTGAGATAGTCAGATAGGCGCGAGGGCCGTCGAGACCCACCGAGAGATCCCAAAAGACGTCAAAGCACACAGACCGGTGCTGGCACGTTTGGCACGTGACTTCGGAGCGCAATTGGCCGCAAAACTGCTCCGAGAGCGCGCTCATGTTGCGCTGCACGTAAAACTGCCAGTACTCGTCCGAGACGTCCTTGTCGCTCGCGCTCGGGCGATCTACATGGTGCAGGTTGATGACAACAATCGTTCTCGGTTTGTCTACCGGGGATTTCGTAGTACGCTGGTTTTTTCTTGATCCTGTTGAGATCTTCGTGGAGACCGTCGACGAGGAAGCGGAGAAACTCTTGGGCGTCGTGCTGCTCGTACCTAGTCGTCGATTGTGAGCATTTGCCGAGTGCGATTTACGCACCCAATGAAGCGCGACGCGAGCTTGCCAACTACGCGCTTCAACTCGACAGGGCGCGTCGAGCTAAACTCGGCTTGTTGCCACAGCACTTGCGTCAGGTCGCCAAATACACTAGACATGTACAAAATGCCAAGAGATCGTGTATAGTGGGAGGTATACCACGCGAGTTTGCCTTGGGTTGGACTGGCTTCGTTGAGTTCCTGGAGGTGCTGCCCCATGCGGAAGTACCGCATCACGAGCGGGACGTTGCTCAGGCACTGGAGACAACTGTTCATAAAGCTACGTCGAGAGGTTGATCGGGCTTTTGCATGAATGTGAACGAGATACCACGTGTTGCCGAGGTTCTGAAGCCCGACCAGGCCCCTCGTGGCGCTACTTCGCTCCTTCATCACGATCGAAGTCGACGAGGTTGTGATGCCGGCGTTGGCGAGCCGCGCCGAAATGGAGAGTGCATCAAGACGTGTCTCGTCCAATCTGGGCTTGACAATTGCGTCTTTGGCACAGCCAGGATACGACGTGTACGTCGAAGACGCGGGCGGTAGCTGCACTGTCGACGCGTTGCCGTCGTCGTCGTTCTCCGAGTCGTCGGTGCTCGATTTCTTGGAGCGTTCGTCGGCGTCGGGGGCCGGCGCAATACTGTTTTGATTCGAGAGTGGTTGCAACCGCGGTGACTCGCGCTGCTGGCGACTCGCCCGCGAGAAGAGACGGTTGCTCGGCAGCCGCGTCGTCGTCGTCGTCGTCGTCTCGATGTTGCCGGCTTTCTTTCGTGGGCCCGTGCGAATGTGCACTGTCAAAAGCGTGCATGAGATCTTATAGTCAAGGGATTGACCGTCGTACCCATCTTGTTGAGCATGTCGTCGTTCGTAGTTGCTGCCACGTCGGGCGGCGGTGCGTCGGCGAGGTCCTTGTTGTTGTTGGCAGTTGCGGTCGTAGCACTCGGGGGGGCGAGCGACCGCGTTGGGGGGGTTGGAGACGGAAGGCCGGACGTCGCTGGCTTGGCCATTCACTTGTGCACCTTGGAATCTTAAATGCTCACGCCACGCGCTCTCAACCGCAGACGCCATCTTGGCTACGCTGGCGTGGGATTGGCTCCGTCGACCTCACCGGCTCAACGGAAACCGTTGACAGCCCTTGGGACCCAATCACGACACAAAGTGTCCTTAATATCAGCTGTGAAACGTCATAGTATTACTTGGATGGACGAAATAGTGTCTTCTCGACACGCGCCATCACGAGCGAGGGCCTCTCACGGCGAGGCGTCTTGAAACTCGCTCAAGTCGTCAGTGGCGAGGCGAGGACTGCGAAGGGCACTGGCGGTATCTTCTTCGTCGTCGTCGTCGTCCTCGCTCTCTGCTTCGTCAAGGTCATTTTGAGCTTGACGAGCCATGGCCGTAGCCGCAATCGTCAACGCTTCCTTGAGCGTATCGATCTCGTCCTTGTACTCTTGCAGCGTCCGGTTGAGCTGTGCGGTGGCACTGTGTTCTTTGGAAAGAGACTCGTGGAGCTGTCGGCTCACCATCTCGAGCTGCTGTGTTTTCTGCGGGATAGAAGTTGTTGGCTCAATAACAGTCTAACACACAAGACCGTGTACCTGTTTTTCGGCGTCGAGCTGCGTCGCGACGGCCTCGGTCTTGGCGGCTTCGTGCGCCAGCAGTGTCCATACAAAGCGACACACCCGCCAGTACCGCAGACACCCCAGCACCCGCATGACTATATGCAACGTGCTTGTGAGCGACGCGCGAGTGGGAAGAGCGTACCTGCGGACGCGTACTGGAGCTCGTACGAAAACGCGAACGCGACCACGCCCATGTCAAGGCAGTAGCCAATGTGCGAGAAGAATGCGAGTTCAAATACCGCTACAAGCGCTGCGATTTCAAGCAGGAACGCGACTTGGGTAAACCCCGAGAGCGACTGAAGGACACGGTTGGCGACGACGGCCGACGCCCCGAGCGACGCGCCGAGATCGAGGTACGCGCTGAGGAGCGCCGACCCGACGTCAAGCGTGATGAGCGCAATCATGACGAGCTGCGCTTCGGGTGACTCGAGAAAGACGCCGACGCTCCGCCGACTCCAGCCCGACGTCACGGCCACGACCGTCGGCTCGTCCTTGTCCTTGGTCATCGCGTCGTTTCGCACAAGATACGCGGAGGCGCGCAATGATTGGCCCGTTGTGAAACCTCTTAAAACGCATGTCTGACAATATCAAAGAAGAGAGACTGCACGGAATTGTCTCGAAGTTGACAGCAGCATTTGACGTCAGGCAGCGCGATGGCCCACCTCGAGAACGAGTTCCTCTCCAAGAAGTACCAGAAATGGGACAACTTCAAGGTACGCTGGATGCTAAGGCCAGCGAGCGCAGGCAGGGCGTGGGCCTCATGGGCGCGGCGATGCTAGGACGACGACGACGATGACACGGCCGTGCCAGTCCAGAGCCAGACCCAGTACGACCACTCGGGCGACGGTACGATGGACATGGCGCATGCATGGCCTTATGGCGCGACCTCGTAGCCGACATTGAGATCGTCGATCAGATGCTGCTGACGCGCGGCCAGCTCGACAAGTTCAAGAAGCTTGACCAGACCAAGCAGGAGATCTGGCAGATCGTCGTGCGCAAGCTGCGCGTGTGGTCGGCGTCGAGCCAGGGCGCTGAAGAAGGCGACGATGCGATTCCGTGCCGGCCGTACGCGATCCTCGTCAACAACATCTACCCGCTCGGCCAGGTACATCTTGCCTCTCCCACTCGCATCATCATCATCATACACCCTGCGAAATAGGTCGTCTCGAAGAAGATTTGCGACCCGCCCGAGGTCTACCCGTCGGCGCGCGAGATCCTCGAGCTCTCGCTCAACGCGATGGCGGACCCGCCGTCCAAGATCCCGCAGCACCGACCGGACAAGATTGTGTTTGCCGACAAGGCGCTCGTGGGCCAGCTCCGGCTGTCGTACGCTGCCCTTGGCATCGAGTGCACGTACCTCACCGAGTCGGACGGTATCGACGCGTGCATTTCGTACGTAGCCGCCTCGCTCCTCCAAACCCGTACTATCCCATGTTGCATCTAGCGAGCTCTCAGGCCACTTGGTGCGCAAGGACCTGGCGTCCATCGGCTCGGTGAGCGAGAAGCCGGGCCTGCCGCTGCCCGCCGATGCGATCCAGGCGTGGTACGAGGCCTGCGCAACGTTCGTCGACCTCTCGCCGTGGCGCAAGCTTGTCGAGCGGCAGTCGATTCAGATCGATACCACGTCGTCGCTTTCGCTGAGCTCCAAGCCCAACGCTTCGGTGCGCATTTTCTGCTTGTGCTATACACTACTGACCCTGGCGTAGGTGCAAGGCGGGTCGGTCTACGTCTCGGTGCTCGGCCACACGGAGGACCCGAACGAAGAGAGTCTCAAGGGTGCGTCGTCCGCTTCCTCCGACATCCTTGCTTACGGTGCGTGGGCTAGGCCTCGCCTTGTTCTTTACGCGCACCGACCTCCAGCGCCGCGTGTTGCCGCCCGGTACTTGGATTGAGTTGTCACGTGGGATAGAGTAATGGATGCAATGGCGGTGTAGGCCAAACCCTCGCGCTCATGGAGAACCCGAGTTTGCGCAGGTGCGCGGCGTGCGACAAGAAGGCGCCGGCGGGTGCCGACCTCAAGCGCTGCACGCGTTGCCAGTGCGTCTTTTACTGCGACGCGACATGCCAGGTATTGATACATTGATATATTGATATAAAAATGAAACCATGGATAGCGGAGCCACTGGAAGGACCACAAGGTCAACTGCGTCGACCCTACGATCGCAGCGGCAAGCGACGACGGCAAGAAGGCGCACAACTGGGGCGCGCGCGAGCTCTCGGTGTTTTTTGGCGGCGTCACGTCCATGCCGTTTGACGACCTCGACGCGATCGACGCGTACGCGTCACGTCTCTCGTTGCGATATATCATTCGAGCTCCGTAGGCACGGCTGCCGCATTGCGCACGGCATGTACCCGACGCCGATGCTCTTCCGCCACGGCGAACCCAGCACGCCGCTGGTCTCGGACCTGCTCTGGCTCACGCGCGGCCTTGAAGCGATGAACGCCATGCTCAAGACCGCCCCCGGCTTTGTGAACGCGTCGATGGCCGGGCTCTTGGGCCTCCACGACGCGGCCGAGGAAGCCAAGATCAGCGTCGAGATCCCGTCGCTCGTGGCCGGCACGACCGAGACCGTCGTGTTGCGCAACAGCAGCGTCCTCTCGATGCAGGACGTCGACGCTCTGCGCAGCGCTGTCGAGAAGAAGAAGAAGGCGCGGGTCGACGATACGGCCGAGGAAAAAGCCGACGCCAGCGCCAACAACGAAGGCAGCTGCGTGCTCATGTAATGACCTCTACCAGTAGCATTTTCACGGGATAAATACACGGGATATTGGAAGACAAGATGTATGCAGGAGGATATTATTGGGCTCAGGTTATTTTAGCCGAAAGTGTAGTTTCTGTGGTGACACCCGGGCAAGCGATATAACATTATACTAGTACATTCCCGTGCACCCGGTCCACCCAGTGAGAGAAAAGGCCTTCTCTGGGGAACGGCGACACGGCACGGAATCCCGTACTGGATTCTCGCGAAATGTGGGTTATTTAGGAGTGGTCCAATAAAACGCACGCATTGGGACCACGTTAAAGTGTCCCATGCGCGCCCTGTCACTGCCCAAGCGGCGTCTGCGGCCTTCCTGTCCTCGTCCAGCCACCACGCCGTGTCTCTTTGTGCTGCACTTCGAACCCGCGTCCTCGCATGGCACGGCCTCGAACGGACGATGCGCCGCCGTCATCCAGAGCAATGTGTTTTGGCTGCATATACCGGAACTCCAGTCGACTAAGTCCTCGGTCGGGAGGAGGCTTGGCAGGTCGGACGACCGGCGGCAACTGTGTGTCGTCTGTCTCAATGTGCCCAGTGGCCCAGCTGGCGTCGCGCTCGTGACGTGGCGCCATAAACGAAGCCGAGATTCGACACCCGTTCGAAAGCGATGTGGCACGCGGCCGCTGTGCGCCGTGCGAATGTTCCGCCGCCGACCAATCGATGGCATAAGATCGCTCGCGCTTATCTCACTTTTCGTTTTCGAACCATGCAGCATCAACTCGTTCTGCTCGTGCTCGCCGCGTCCCTCCAGGCGGCGTCGGCCCAGCTCTTGGGCAATGGCGACAGCGGCAAGTTTCTCTACATTGGCCTCCTCATCTGCGTCCCCATTGCACTCGGCACCATCTTCTTCTTGGTCTGCGGCCGCCTCTGCCGCACCGAGCAAGAAAAGCTCGAAGCCAACATCATCATGGGCGTCCCCGTCATCGTCTTTATCGAAGAGGGCCGCGACACAATCTCGTCGACGGACGAAGTCGGCGTCTACATGACGGGCACGACGCCGATCGCGCAACCTGTCTACGATTTTGAGGTTGAGCCGTCCGTGGCCCCTGTCACTGTGTCATCTGCATCGTCGTCTTCATCGTCATCGTCGTCGTCGGGGCCGTCGTCGTGCAGTGCGGCCTAGCGTCCTCCTATTATAGCGTATTTATCTCGATTGAGTATGACCATTCTGTCCATCCTTGAAACCATTTTTCGAATGGCCTACCATTGCAGTGTTGTTGGTTCTTGGCGCTTTTGTCGTAGCAAAACTAGAGGACGCTCGGGTGACCTTGGATCGCGTTGCTGTCTCACGCCTTGCACGTGCAGTTTCTGGTAGTGTCAACACAGCGGCCAAGTCTCGTCATGTCACTGCCGAACTCAGCATGGCCATGCAGACATCGTCCAGACGAAGCGGAATCAGCCGAGCTTGCCGCGTAGCCCATGGCTGTGGTCGTGGGGCCAAGCGACGACAAGTGACAGAGTACGCGCGGCAGCGTGGTCAGAGCATCTTTCGTGCTGGTGTCGGCATTTCGCAGCGAAAAGCTACGGGTTCTGCAGCGTCACGGTCATTGGACATTCGACATTCGAAGGGGCGGCACCCATGACCTACCGGCAGTCCAACGGCGGCATCCTAGCATCCTCATGTTGAAGCCGGTGTGGACGACTGACTGCTAGCGATGCAAGCAGTTGAGCCCGAGATATGCCTCAAACTCGGGCTCAAAAATGTCGTCGGATAAAACACCACGTTGGTATACAGCGCCGATGGGATGACTGATGCATCGCCACCACTCCAACACTGGCAAATCTATGACCAAGCACCGAGGACGGCTATATCCTGGTGCAGGAGATGACGACGTTTCGTCATCGACACCGAGAATACGCTCGCCAAAGGAGTTTCGGATCGACAGGATGCCGACGCCGCGCGGGGTTTCGACGACCTTCTTCTCGACGATCCAGAGTCCGCGCGTTCGGCGCTACTCGGAGCCAACCGCGCGGACGCGGCACCTTCTGGAGCCTGTCGTTGCCCTCGCCCGCAAGTCGTTTCCGTGGATGAGTGCCACCGGCCGCCCGACGCCGCTTCCGTGGTCGCCCGATGACGACGACAGCGAAGACCAAGACGAGGAAGAAGAGAAGGAAGAAGACAATGTGTCCATTTCCGGCGACCGGTCCAAGGACGTCGATGCTTGGCGCCGGGTCGTGGACGTCGAGGCCGAGTGCCGGGTGACGTTAACCGCGTGCTTGTCGGCGCGAGCGTTCAATGTGCGCCAGCACACGTTGCTTTCGACGCGCCTCGCCGACTACGCGACACTGCTCCAGCGCTACGAGCAAGCGGCGGCCGCGAATGCGCAGTGGGCGACGATCACCAATATGGTCCAGAAGGACCTGCCGCGCTGCTTGGACCAAGTGGCTTTCCACCTCCAGGCGAACGACGTCAAGGTGCACGCTCTCCAGCGCCAGCTAATGCAACTCTCTCGCGAGCGCGAGAGCCTCGAAGAACGTCTTCTGCACCATGCGTCGCGGGTGGCGACGGGCGTCCAAAGCGCCTAAGGAATCAACTTCTCGTTGGGTCTCGTCGATGCATTTTCGCTGTTAAGACCACCAAAATGGTATCTCTATATATCGATTTGGCATTGCTATTCACTGCATCTCGAAGGACCAGGGCGGACAACTCCTGGTCTATGTCAATACTGCGAGCTGTTGCTTGAGTTGTCGTCGGTGGAAAAGTGCACCAAGTTGAGAGCTACCGAGAAGAGCACCTAATCATACATAGAGCAGAAGCCCTAACAAGCACCGATAAAGTCGAACACGGTGCGTATTTTCTGAATCAGGCGGGCGCGACGGCGTCGCCACTACAGTAGTTAGAGCAGGCCAAATTGGATTACATTTACACCTTACGCAGAATGGCATAAGCCAGTGACTGCACTCCGCAGCGGCAGCCGTCTAGAGCCGCACCACGAGTGCCCGCCAGTCCGACAATCACTCGGCAGACGAGAATGTTGGTCAGCGGCCCAGCTGGGATGACAACCAAACGACAACAGGAGCTGCCCTCGGTATTCAGGATGGCGGAGACGACGACGACGACGGCGTGCGGTTGTGCGTTTGCCAATGGGACGTGGCAGCATGTTGATGCATGCGCCTGGACGCACTGCCGCATGTGTGCCTGGTGCGACCCGCATGAGATGGCGTCGGACGCCGGCTTTTCTGCGTTCACCGCCCACTTTGCAGTTTGCGCCGGCCGCCGCCACGCAGCGCACCTCGACAATTGGCTCGTGGGGCCACTCGCATTCGGTGCCACCGTCGAAGAAGTCTCTGCCCTCTTGCCCGAGTATCGCGGCGTGTACCACGAGCGGCGCTGCCCCGTCGCGCCCGAAGTGACCAACTTTCATTGCATCTACTTCTGGTACAACGCTCGTGCTCGATAAGCTTACAACGGTGGCGTAGGGTGCCGCTGGCCGAGGTCGCGCACCACTTTCGGTTCCTTCCGCGCACACTCCAGCAAGGCGACTACGCGTGCTTCCTCTTCGAGAAAGGCTGTGGATTGCGCATGATCTCGCTGCGGTTCTTTGAGCCGTCGACACCGACGGACATACCGACAGCACTCGCATACTTTGCTCGGCTCTTCCAAGTGCAGCTGGACGAGCACCTCGACGCAGCGTTCCTCACGCCCGACGCTACGACGCTGATCTCGCTTGGCCCTCGGGGATACCACGCCGACGAGAACCCCAACGTGCTCTTGACCGTCCTCGAGTTTGCAGATGCACACCGCCCGCCTGTGAACAACCGCAACTACCTCCCGCTGCCACCAACGCACGCAGTCCTTGAGCGCTGGCTTCCGCTGCCCCTGGGCACCTCCCTCGAGGCTGCTCAACGCCTCCTTGACTGGCCTGCCACGATGAGTCCCGACGGTCACACGACGCTTCGGTATAGAGCTAGCTAGAAAGCTAGAGAACTCAAGTCTCTACTGATAGGGGGCCACTTGCAGCGGTGGCAACGCGCTTTCCGTGCCTGCCCCCGGGGCTCAACGCGAACGACGAGGTGCTCTTCGTCTTTGAGCCGGGCACCGGTCTCGTGCTCACATCGCTGCGGTTTTTCGAGGAACCGACGGCCAGCGGCAGTATACCACGCATCCTCGCGTACCTCTCCGGTCTCGTCCAGCTACCTCTCAATATGGACGGCGACGGCATCGCACGCGTCGACAACCATGTTTTGAGTTTGAGCGCCACAATGCTCGACCGCCCAACGACATTGCTCGAGGTCTTTGACGCGCACAGCGTCACGGCTGCGATGCGCGACGTGGTGCCGACCGAGCCTGGCAAGCACCGCCGCCACAAGAAGTGCGCGATTAGCTAGCGGCTTCGATTCTGCGTTCGAACCGACCGTCATTCTCGGATTTTGGTGTTTCAAATTGTGTTCGATTGACAATCTAGAAAATGAGAATTCCATTTGGATCGTCGACTTCAATTCCGTGTCGTCGCGTCAAAGCAGCCAGTGACGTTGGCTCGAGGATGGACGAGGAAGAGGCGGCAGAGGTCATTCTCGTGGTTCTCATGGTTCTCCCAACGACAGTGGACACTTCGACTCACTGGAACAACAACGACAGTGGACACTCTGCAACGATTGGTATCTGTCCCACGACGGTTGGACAGCACTGTGTGACATCAATCCAGTGCTGCAATCCCGCCCAACAACCAACGACACTGGACATACGGTGCTTGGATCTACGTTGTTGTTGGCCCTGCTCGCGATGGCTCGTAGCCGCTCCATGGCGTGCTGATAGCTAATTCTGATAGCTAATTCTGATAGCGCGTTGGTTCCACGATAAAAATCGAGTCGCGAGGTTAGCGGTTCGCTGAGTTGTCGCTGAGCTAGTGTTGGGTTGTAATCCCACTCTGCATTCCACCAGAAAAATGGCGTTCGATCTCAGTTTGCCTTTTGCTCGTCAACCATCATGATGATGCAAGCTGCCGAGTCGACGTCCGAATGCGCCTGCGTGTTTGCCCACAGCAGTTGGCAGCACAGCGCGCACTGCCGGTGGAGCCACTGCCGCCATTGCGCGTGGCGCTGCCCCATCGACGTGACGTCCGAGGCCGGCTTGGTCGCGTTCGCCGACCACTTTCGCGACTGCGCCGGCCGCGCCGCCCGGGCCCACCTCTGTGACTGGCTCGCGTCCACGGTGCGTTTTGGCGCGTCGATCCAAGACATTGTCGGGCTCTTCCCGGACCGCGGTCCATTCCATGAAAAGCACTGCGCCATTGCGGCTGACGTGACCAACTTTGCGTGCCGTGAGCTCTGGTACGACGCACGCTCCTTGTATCTCGTTGCAAATGTGTATTTTAGGCTGCCGCTCTCGGCTGTGCTCGGCCTCTTCTTCCCGTCGCTCGCCGCCGACCTTGCCGCTGCCACATCGCCCTCCGATGGAGTTGTGTTTTCGTTCCAAGACGGCTACGGTCTGCGCATGGTGTCGTTCCGCTTTGAAGAAGCGACACCAGTGCTCGCGGCTTACTTTGCCTTTGTATTGCAATTGCGCCTCACCGAGACGACGCGTGCACTGCGCGCAAGCAGCTACCTCGAGGACGACGAAGCGTGCATCGTGGCGCTAACGTCCACAACGCATAAAACGGGTGGTCGGAGCCGACGACAAGCTACCAAAGCAACAACGTGGCTCGAGTTTGTTGACGCGCGCATGCCGCCGGCCAATGACCGCGACTACGTAGTCGTCTGCGATCGTACCGAGCACGATCGAGAGGCGTAGCGCTTCGTTGTCGGAGCACCGACGGCTCTTGAATTATGTAATATATATTTGAACGCGTCTCATGATCTCGTTGTGCTGACAAGGACGAGCCTACGTCGATGCCTACTTGTAGAGCGAGGAGGAGGTTCTTTCATTCCTCGCTTGGCGTGGGTTGCGTGCGAGTAGGCGGGAATCCTTGTCATTTCTCTCACCAATATGCGTCTGATACGAGTGGCTAACGGGTTTGCACGGTGCATAGCTTCGTTTTAGCGCTACCAGTCTAGTCGTGAGAGACGTCCGAAGCTGGTCGTGGCAAAGGAACTCGGGTCATGGCAGCATTCTGTGCGAAATGGCTATACGTACACACACTATTTAGGGAGCCAATGGGATTCGTGACGCGCCAAATTGAAGCATGTTGATTGGGTGCAAAAACGACAGGCACGCTGGCTTCGTCATTTCGCAATTGTCGACAAAGTGCAAAATCAGCAGGTACAGTAACGCACTAGCTAAAGGTTCACGGGACCATATCGACGGTGCTGTAGCAAGTCGCTTCATGCTGTCTTGACTCGTCAGTTGATGCATTCATCTATACCTGTAGTGGATAACGCATGCCACGTGGAACGACGCTGACGATCGACGAGCGCGAGCGCATTTTGGCGTTGAACCAGACGGGTATCTCACAGCGGGCAATCGCAAGGCAGCTCCGCCGGTCTCCGCAAGTTGTCAACTACTTTTTAAAGGACCCGGCTGCGTACAACACGGTGAAGCGGTCAGGTCCCAAGCCCAAACTCAGCAAAGAGGCGACGCAGCGTCTTATCGCGGCGGCATCCGAAGGCGTTTTCACTACCCGAGAGCTGCGTATCGTCCACCAAGTACCACTAAGTCTTCGTCGTATCCAGCGAATCATCTCGAGCGCCGACCCGGTGCGCGAGGAGATACACCAAGCGATACCGA